TTTCAAGGCAGCTTTATGCAGCCAAGGTGGCAGGAAACATCCTCAGGGCAACTCACGCCAGTTTTACATCAATGTAACTCCAGGAGTTATGCAAACGTGAACCAGTGCAAACTTGTTGGGGGACAGAATGCCTCCCCCTCATCTCGAGCGATGATTTCTCCTTCTTGGAAGGATTCCCTTTGTTGTTGTTGCAAGGTCCTGGGATCTCTTATTACAGTACGAGCCAAGGCAATGATCTCATCGGAAAGCAATGGTGTTAACAGATGGGCAGCATTGAAGTGTTTATTCCCAGGATGGAAAGTTAAAAGAGGCGGTGTAACTTAGAGAGGCTCCCTTGCAAAGATCCCATATAAGTCAGCTTTGTCCACTGGACTAGGTGTAAAGCCCTTTGGCAGCGCTGAAGAGCATCCATCGCAGAAGCTTTGCATGAACCCCATTAGTCCTGGGGCAGCTTTCATGGCTTCCTCAATCCTTCCTCTTTCTACTGAGACTTCCAAGAAAGGGAGGTTGCTGGCCAACGTGCCGGGGATTTCTGGGACCCTAGCATCTGCTCACTGGCAAGAGAACAGAGCAAAGGGACTTTCTAAGAACGCGCTTCACAAATGGAGCTTTGAAAGGCGAACAGAATGTCCCGCCTGGAGCCGGCGGGCTGGCAAAAGGCAAAGGCACTTGAAAAACAGATGCCAATCCAACCGTCAGGCCCAAGATGTGAAGTGAGAACATTGCGCACAACCAGCTGTTGGGGTGGGTTGGCTCATGACTTTATCTGCTCAGCTAGTGCTAAAGATCTGTAAATGGGGATCACAGGCCTGCCGCACAGGGGTGAGAAGAAATACTTTGAACATTTTTAATTGTTCAGATACTACAGTAATGTGATAAGTATCTAAAATATCCACAGTAGAAGGATGGACAGCAAGCACTTCCATAAAGTACCTTTCCTTTGAGGACCACTTCTGAGAAGAAAACTGATGTGAGTTCGTCTAAGGAAAGACTCAAAGCAGAGCACTTTAGAAGAGGAGGTTGAGGCCATGCGTGGAGATTCAGGAGATCTGGTTCTCTACAGACTCAGGCGTGGTCTACACTACCACTTACAGTGCTGAAACTTTCTTCGCTTAGGGGTGCGAAAAAAAACACCCCCCTGAGCGATGCAAGTTTCAGCACTGTAAAGTGGCAGTGCAGACAGTGCTACTCCCCCCGCTGGGAGCTATTCCCCTCGCGGAGGTGGTTTTATTACAGCACTGCTCTTCCAGCGCTGGAGCCGCGACTCCACAGGCACGTTCGGCAGCGCTCTAACGTCGGCTGTGTAGACATACCCGTGGTTTGTGATCTCAATCATGTCACTTTCTCCTATCTCTAAAATGGGGATAATACGTCGATACCTGATCAGGAGTTAGGAGACGTTCAGATATTATGGTGATGGATGGGAGCCTAACGGAAAGGTGAATATAACCACCTACAAGGACGTGGAGTAGCCTCCCAAGAGAAATAATGGGAGACTTGTTGTTTGGGGCATTTAAAACTGAATAGACAATAGGAAAGAAACCAGGAAAATGGTGCTGGTGGGGTTCTGGAAATTGCTGGATTAGATCACATAACAGGTTGTTTCCATCTCGAATTTCTATGAAAGCCCTAAGCTGTCTATTTTTGTCACAGCACCATCCTGCTACCTGCGGAAGCATGCATGCCAAGAGACATTTGCACAACGGTTGCACTGCAACACCAAAAAATTTCAGGCATGATTTGCACATTGCTCTTTGCACGGTATTTGAGAAAAACTTCTTCAGCTTGCATCCATTAAAGGAAACGGGCCTAGCCTCATGCCGCAGGATGAAGTAAGCTCTTTAGCAAGAATGCAAAAAAACACATTGCGGAGTGTTCAGTGTGTTATACTTTGGTACAGTGTAACTTTGGTCTATGGAGCCAAGCTATGGGATTTTAGTTGGGAGCAGCAGTGAATAGCTGGCAGACAGTTGACCACTGCAGTCCTCTGTTTATGGCGTCTGTCTGTCACTATAGAAACTATTACATCATGCCCCGAGCATTATAATGGGGAGATTGAAAAGTACATGTGTTAGCTTGAGAACTCGCAATGTTTCGCCCCAAACCAGTAGTACAAAAGCGCTGCTAGACAAGGGCCCAATGAGAACACTAAATTAATCCTCCATTCGTGCTGAGGTTTCTGTTTGCAGTGCCATAAAGTATGTTTCTCGCCATAGCAGGTGGCAAGAGCTTGACCTTTAAACATCACTTCTGATTACCATTTTGCTCCTTTCCCCACTTCAATCCTGACCTGAAAGTTGTAGTCAAGGCCCACCTCCTCAAAAGGTGTTCAGACTCCTAACTTCCGAGCCTTAATACCTTTGAGGGCTGGGCCCAGTGGCCTAACAACCATTTGTGACAGAAACTAATTCTTTGTAAAGGTACAACGCACTCCCCTCCCTCCTTGCCCTTCAAAGGGTATGAAGCATTTATGTCTGAGCAACAACTGACATCAGCCTGTGTGTGGTGGATGCAAGATGGTAAGAATGACTTGATTTTAAAAGGTCCAAAGACACATTGCAGGCAGACCTTTTTGGTATTCCAGCCACATACCAACTCCCTATGGTGCACAGTAAATCCCTCTGCCAAGGGTGTTAAATGCAGAGAAATGTCAATGGGGTACAGACTGAAAATAACGGTTACCCCATAGGGATTTGGGGTAGGGAGGGGAAGAGTGGGGAAGTTTGGAAGGTAAGTTTTGAACTATCCCCGAAGTGGCAGGCTGCCATTGCAGCAGCAGTTTGAGGACACTGCCGTCACTTTTAATTCTGTTATTAGCATCCTGTGACTATATTCAATAGTCTAGTTTTTGACTGAGTTGCAAAGCTTCCTGAAGGGGGGGAGGGGTTGGACACCCCGCTGCGATGTCCAAATCCCAGAGCCAGCGTTGAAAATCTCAGCCCCAGTTTCTAATAAAAGAAAGTGAGCTGAGATTGGCTGGTGGGCCACAAATGCCATCATTGGTGGGAGAGTAAGGGATTCAAATAGTCCAGGGAATCTTTATTAAAAAGAGAGAGAGGGTTGGGAATGGGGGATGAGAGAGATGTTCAAGATGATAGAGCAGGCATTCATAACATGGTCCTACTATTTTATTTTGTTACCAGGAACTACTTTTCATAGGATATATTGCATAAGCAAGCCCCAAGCTTCTTTTTAAATGAAATATACAAGAACCCATGCTATATCAATCAGCCCCTCTATAGTGTGCATTAGATAGGTCCGTATGGAACCACAGGGACCTCAATAAGGCCTCTAGGTACCACAAAAATAATGCTACTGCTGCATGTCTTCAGCTTTGGATTTGATGGACACTCCTGTGTCTTAGTGCTGTGATAACTTAATAGCTAACAGGGCAAGGAGGGCTTCTTAGCTGATCAGTTCAGCTGGTTCCAGGCACTGCTGGAGCATTCTCAGAAAGGACAAATGCAGGCACTGACCTCGTTCAAAAATTGGAGGAAACTCTTGTTTAGAACATGAACCTTTATTAACTAACTGCTTCAGAGGGAAAAATAAAGTATGGAGTGTGATTACTGGCACATTTTCTGCTCTCTGAAAGCCCTTATTTGAAAGGGAAAGGAAGTTGCCACCCTTTTACCAAAGCCGAGATAGTCTGTGGTGAATAGATAGCCTTCACAGTATAGACATGGTTACCAGGAAGCAAGACAGCTTTGACGCACTTTACACCCACTACCTAGAAACAGAGCAGCCAAATAGCGAAGGGGAAACCGCTCTACAAATTCCATATTTGCATATTTCCATAGCAAAGCCCCACCTTTGCATGAAGCCACCGGACTATGGGAAGGGGTTGTATAGAGAACATTCCTAAAAGCAGCTTAAAAGGAAGACAGAGCCAAACACTTCCAGACTCATCACCATATACTAAAACTGCCAACTTTCTTCCAGGGGCAGAGGCCCAGATTCTCCAAGGTACTGAGGCCCCTAACTTCCATTGATTCCTATGGAAGTTGGAGCCCAAATATCTTTGAGGATTGGGCCAGAGTGACTAGCTGCTGCTGTAGGTGGCCATCTGCCTCATTGTTACATGAAAGCTGACAGACTGTTCATTCAAAGTGGGGGTGGGGAGAAGGGAGGCGCATGATCTAATTGCACTAAGCATTTTCTAGTTTAATCCTGACAAGGTTTGCATTTTTAACAAAGCTGCCAAGAATTCTGCCACCCCTCACCTCCCAAGCAAGGGCTGAAGGCATAGAAGCAGAAGGGGGAGAAGACGACCCCATCAGTTAGGATCACGACCATCCCACTCTACACAGGATACAGCTTTTGCCTTTTCAGACAGGCCTATGAAACAGCTATTTGCCAGGGTGCCAAGTACCCTGCCTCCCCAATAAGCAATTTGTCATTATCACCAGTATACACAGAGCCAGCCTAAAGCTCTTTTGAGGGTGAGCAAGCAGGATTCTTGGGTACACAGCACACTTCACTCATACATACCCTGCACCCCACTCTGCTGTAATCTCATACAGCTGTTTGCATCTTTCAATGCCAGCACTTATACTGAAGAACCCCCCTGCCCCCTATCACTATACCCTTAAAAGCAGTCCTACCTACCACCCTCAGCTTGACTCTGGGTAGGTCAAAAGGTGGCAGCTCTAGCACATATCCCATTGTCGAGAGGAACCTTTGGTAAGGTAACACGTCCGCATGATTGAACGAATTGCTTCAGCATCAGGCCAGTTGCCCTCATGTTGCAATCCCCTCATGGAGGAGAGAAGCTGCCACGGAGAGGTACTTGTTTCGAAAGAAGCTTGTATGGGACAGTCAATCCTGGGCATCTGCTTCAGGCAAGAACAATACCAATTGATGTTTTCTTGCCTTGGGCAAGAACGTAGGCTATATGTACAGCTAGAACTACACTGTTAGTTTACACGGTGGCTGTAATTAATAGTAAACCCTTACTAGGTTATAAAAAGCATGTGTGGTTGAAATACAGATATACTTAATATATTTGCATGATTTATTTTAGGAGGGAACAGTCTACAGAAAAGCAGGCAGGCATAATTGCAGAATAGTTGGAATCTAATACACCCTTGAAAAGCTATGCCCGTTTGGTGAAGGCTATTGCACTTCTGGGGGCTGGGCAGAGGGGGAAGAAAAGGAACAAGTATTTCAGTTGTACACATTGTCTGGTCCCTGCCTGAATGTCAGGGCAGGGCTAAAGAGACTAACCCCATCCAAGCTTAAACAAAAACTCTCAAGATTAAAGGCTATTTGTGAAATGTTACTGCAACTGTTGAATTAGCCTCTCCCTTTGTGGTTGAGCCTCTGAGTGCAGCTGTTAGCACTTTCTATGTAGCCCCCAGTGATGTTTAGCTGAACTCTTGTATGCGACTGTTGAAGAGGTAAATTGAGCTGCTCAGTGAAGAAAGATTTCCCCCTTCTCCTTTTAAAGATAGTTGTGATCTGCTGAACTCGTTGAGATTTAAAGTGCTGGAGATGAATGTGAGTGTTTCCTTACTAACACACAATCCTGGATCAACATGAGCAAGGGTTCTCACAACTTCTGTACTATGGACAGGATGTTAGGGATTTGTCTTGACACCTCCTCATTCACAGTTGGAAACTATTGCTAAGACAGCTAGAGCAGCTGCTTACAGGGAGTACTAGAAAAGCTATAATGCTCTGTCATCTGTGTGACTTGATGCAACAGCTGGCTGCAAGTAGAAATTGCACTACGGTAATAGGTAGCTACAAGCCCTGTGCATGGGCTATGGGCTACCCCAGGCCCATAGAACACTTTGGGCATGTACAGTATATTCATTCATACTATAACTGAAGACTTCTGCTACCACTGTAGCAATAGGCTGGAAATTACATGCACATTAGGGAGAAAGAAGTTCACTACAGTCATAGCATACACTTGGCCACAAAATACTGTTATGGGGTGCTACTGCCTTAGCTTCGAGGCAGAGGAACAGCAGCAAGATTTAATTGTGCAGAAGTGAACAAAAACCACTTTATTGACAAGAGTAGGATGCTCATTTATTATGTAAACAAGCAAGCCTGACACTAGCACCATGTTTAAAGTCTAGGCTTTGTTTTACATTAGCTTCCACTTCAACCCTAATTCAGTCTGAACAAGATTTTATACAGTGAAGACTAATATATCTAATTTTGCTGAAAACCAAAAATTTAATGTGAAACTATTGTGCATACAGAGAGGGAATCAACTGGCTCAATTTTTTTGAACTAATACCAGATTACTCCCTGCAAGCCTGTCCAGAGTGAATGCTTAGAACTAGCTACTGAAGGATTGAATTGAGTATGTCAAATTAAGGATTCACGGTGCTAACTGCAGATTCAATCCAATGTAGCAGTTTTATTTAGTTTGAGAAAATGCTTACATTCAAAATTAGCTTAGTTTTGAATCAAGACTAAAAAAATAGGTCAAAATAAAACGTGACTAGGAAATAGCCAACACTCACCCATCCATTAAAGAGTCAGGAATAACCCAAAGATTAAAACAAACTAATAAAAAAACTTGTGCTGTTGCCAGCACGTCCTGGGGAACACAGTCACATGGCTGATCTTTGCCAAAGAAGCCTAGCAGTTTTACTAGAGTACATGAGGAAGAGACACTTTGTGGAAATCGAGTAAAAAGAGAAGCAAAAAAATAAAATGCTGTGTGCAATGGGCTGAAGTATAGTATTTCAATAAAGTGATCTGGACTCACTCAAGCCATCTTTCTCAAGAGATCATCTCTGTAAAAATGTACATATTTTACAGTTTTATAGACATTTACAAAGTTCTCTGTACAGCCTCCCTACCCCCTGGGAAGTTTTTACATACTTACAACTGCACTCCCTCTCTTTATAGCTGCATGTGTTCTTTGGGAGTCATAACAGAGGGGGCAAATAATGGTCTAAGGAGCTCTACTGGTAGCCTGTTAAAGTTGACTAGCTACAGTAAGGTCAGGCTTCTCAGCTTTCAAGAGGACTGTACCCCTTTTTACTGCTGATGGAATGTAGGCATATTTCAGCAAAAGTCCCACTCATAGCTGGTACATCTGGTTATAGCCAGAATAAACCTTTTTGCACTTCTAACTCAAGACACAAGCCACAAACTTAAGAGACTTAGTGGGTCCACAGGACCCTAGTCCACATTTCCAATGAGCTATGATCACAACTCAGAGCTAAGGAAATGAAACTCATTCCACATACAGCCATCATACCAAAACTAATAAAAGCCTCTAGGTAGTCCGGAGTAAGAGCCGCTGGTGCTTTTGTTGACTTGCAGAATAGGAGCTGTTCCCCTTAGTGACAAGACTGCACTTGAAAACAGTACTTAGCATCCTTTCACAGGGCTCTTCAAGGAAGTAGTATTACTTGCTTCATTTTCTGTTCTCATTAGCAAAAAAATCCTCTTGTTGGTACTCTCAGTCAGACTGCACCACGCTATCCCTTTCTGGGGAGGGAAGTCACTCAAGGAGATTCCCAGATGTTATTCTCTATGTTCCTGTGAAGTACAGTGTACTAGGTATTTTCACAGCAGGAAGTGTGCAGTTCACTAACTCCAGATGCAAAGGAGAGCTAGTCCACCTGGCATTTAGGTCATTTATATCACTCCATGGCTCATCGCATCATGTAGGCCAAGCTTGCTCCCAGTCCAGCAAAGCCTGCAAAAGCCACCAGAACATTCCTGATGCTACCTTCTAGATCCTCTACACGGAAGAATTCAACAAATCCCTCCTGGAAAAAAGAAGTGAATTATTAATGTCTAAGCCATTTTTCGGGGGGGGAGGGGGGGGGAGAAGAGGAGCTCACAATGCAGTTTGCCTTTATAAAGTTCTCATAACAGTAACATCCCTGCACACCAACTAGGGACTAATCACTATGACAAACTTGTACCAAATACAGAAGCAATTCAGTACATTCTACCTGATTAAGGGAACCTGTCTAGTGGGTTGAGTGTGGAATTTGGATCTAATTGCAGCACACTCATGGCATGACAGAACAAGTCAATTCACCTTTGCACCTTCCGTTTCCTATCTTTAATTTGGAGATAATGTCCACAGGGCTTTCAGATATATGGATGAAAGTGCTCTAAGTGCAGAGTAACATCATAAAGCACCATATGTCTTTATTACACCAATTAAGTGATTCATAATCTGCTTGCACTGCTCCAACCAGTAGTTTTAACTGGACTGGTAATTCACCCTGTATACCTTAGGCATGTACAAGCATGGCTGACACTTGGTGACACCTAGAGAGAGGTAAATATTATTAGACTGATGGACAACTTCATTAGCCACATTCAGTCCCTGCAATCTCTCACTTACCCAGCCTCTTTGGTTAACTAGCCAATCTCGTTTGCCTGTGACAAGCACATCTGTGATGATCCCTGCTAGTGTGTTGATGCAATTCTCCTGGTTTATGCTCTTCAGGTGTTTTGCAACAAAGGCACCAAAAGAGATGAGTGTCACAATTCTACCCCAGTTTGTTACTCCATCACTGAAAACATGGGTTGCAACGGCAGTCACTGACTTCAGATCCTCCTCATTCTTGATGTCTAGCTTCCGAAGCATCCCTGAAGTAAAAGATTAGCAGAAAAACACACTGAGACTACAAAAGTAACTCACTGACTGCAAACACTATACAATAGGTAGTATAAACACCAACAAAAAATGTCTTCCTTAAAGTCTAGACAAATACTGTATATCCTTCCTCCCAAGTGGAATAGAGGAAGATGGGAAAGCCATTATCTCCAGGCATGCAGGCATTAAGTTTGGAAGCTTTAGTACACAATTATATTAGCATGAACTATTTTAGTTTGTTAAATCCTTTTTGAGACAGGAACCTAAAATGAAAGTGCTGTGACACTGCTCTTAAGCTTTGGGGAAAACCTCTGTATTAGCCAAATCACAGTACCTCCTCCTCACTGGATATAGAATGACAGAACACCCAAGAACAACAAAACCAGTTTCTTTTCAGCCTGTCTTTTGGACACTCCTTGAACAGGCTAGTGAGTTAGAACAATTATGAAACGGTCACTCCTTATTAAAAGGAAGCCCAACCATTCTGACCCCATGGCCCCCTTGATGAATTAACATACATCAGACATCTGAAACTACTTTCTTGTTATAGTTAAAATTTACAGGATTCTCCTCCAATATTTGTTCCCTATTCAGCACCAGGCATTAAGAGATTAGTTATCCAAAAATACTGTTTATCCCAGCAATATACTCAAACTCATGAAAGAGGTAATTTATTCAGGTGGCTTAATGCCAACTGTAAAGGCTAATGAATTCCATTCCCCAAGGAACTAAACCCATTGAAAGTCCTTATCTTCTTTGATCTAAGTAAAATATAACCCTGTGGAAAGTCTACGGTATCTCAAATACTTCAGACTCATTAAATTTTAGATGAGTTATTTGAGGTTTCTCTTCAAAAAAGAAAAAAGTTACAGTATTGCTCAAAGTAGGAGTTTTGGGACTTCATGTTATGGTAACTACTGTAACATTAACACAAATTTCATGAAAAAGTTTTCAAAGTTTGGCATTTCAAACCTGAAACCCGGCGCTTAATGTAGTACTGAAATTCTCTTTTACTCAATCAAGTTGAGACACTAGAAGAGAACTGAAGAAAATGTGACCTTCAGAGGTTAATAGACACTGCAGATTGGAATATTACAAGTCAAGAAGATTCAGGACACCCACCTATGGACATGGACTTTAGCATTCAAGTTTCTGTAGCTATTTTAAGGCTATTGTGCAGCATTAAAGGGTGACGCTGGTGTAAAAACGCTAAAATAGTGCAATGGAGACAAAAGTCAGAATAAATACCTGCTAGCACTTCTGTTTTACTGCAGCCTAGAAAATGAAGAGGTCTAATCCATAACTGGCTAACCTTTGGACAAGATTTACAATATATTTGCATGTTTACTCACTTCTTGCACCCTGCTATGGTTAATATGTGACCATGTAGTTTTTGCAGAAGTTAAAGGGTTTTCCCCACCCTCTCGATCAACAAGGTTTAGTTTCGTTTTTTGAAGCAGCGAAGGTTATTCTGTCCAAACAGCTTTGGAAAGAATACCCTCTAACCGGGGCCAGGAGCCCTGCAGCCCCACTCCCAAGCCTGCTCCTCAGGGCCCGCTCTCCAGTCCCTACATCAGTAGTGGGCAACTTTTTTTCCATTTGCGGACCCCCTTAAAAAAAAAGGGGGTCAAATGGAGGCGCAGCCCCCTCTGGAAACCTTGCCTGGCGCCCAGCTTGTTCTAGGGCAGTGCCGACCTGGCGCTGAGCCTTTAGCCGAGAGCCTGCAACCCTCCAGGGGGGCACAGGCTGGAAACCACCGCCCGGGATCACGCGGACCCCTCCGACCCGACCCCGCTCTCCGGGGGGGGGGGGGGCACAGCACGTGCACGCCTCTGCCCAGCGCGGCTCCCCTCAAGCGGGCTCCAGCCGAAAGCCACAGCCCCCCGCCCCCCAGGGGCCCAGCCCCTCCCCCACTCCGGAGCCGGGGCCAACCAAGGGCAGGAGGCCGGGAAGGCGCAGGCCGCCCCGCCCCCGGCCGCCATCTTGGAAGGCGAGCCCGCCCCCCCCCATCCCCTCCTGTGTGGCCCGGCCCCGCCCCTCACCTTGGAAGGCGATCTGGTGCTTCTCCATGACGCCGTCGCCGACCCTCCGCAGCGTCTCCAGCGCCTTCTCCAGGGCGGCGGGGCCCGCCCCCCGCGGCCCGCTCAGCAGCCGCTTGAAGAGCGTCTTGCCGCCGGGCGCGCCCAGCTCCGCGGCCTCCCGCAGGTAGCGGCTGATGAGCTCCAGCGAGTCCTGGAACAGCCCGTCCAGCTCGTCGTCGTCCTCCGCGGGCGGGGTGCTGGGCAAGGAGCCGTCGGCGTGGGCGGCGGCCGCCGGCGGGCCCGTCCTCTCGGCGTCGGGGTCGCAGCCGTCCAGTTCCTCTTCCGGCCGCCACAGCGGGGCCGGCCGGGGCCCCCCGGCCCCCCGCGCAGGGGGGGTGGCGGGGGAGCCAATCAGCGCCCGGGCCCCCTCAGAATGACCGTTGGCACCCCAAGAGGCTCCGCCAATCAGCGTCGCCGGAGGGCCGGGGTCCCGCGCGCCGGGGGCGGGGGGGGTCCCCGCGCCGCTCGGGGAGCCCGGCGGGGAGGGGGGCAGCGTCGGGCCGCCCCCGCAGTACAGGTTGAGGCCGATCACCGCGTTCCGCTTTAACGCCAACATGGCGCCGTCTTCTTCCCAGGTCGGACAATCAGGGCAGGCGGGCGGGGGCCGCCGCTTATATTGCGAGCGCGAGCGGATGGGGGCGGGGCTGACGGGCCTGGAAGGGGAAGTGATGAATGGGCGGCTCAGCGATGGGCGGGGCCTTAGAGGAGGAGGGGGGGGCTGGGGGGGAATGGGGGGGGGGGGGGGGGAGGGGGGGGGGGGGGATCCAGAAAGCGATGGAAAAATCCAGGCTCGCTGGCTTTGCGCCTCCTGCGGGCGGGGGGAAGCTACTTTCTGGATGCCTGTGGGTTTCCCCAGGCTGTGTCAGGACAGGGGGAGTATTTTAAAG